GCATGGAAGTCTCTGAACTGGCCAACACATTCTGGAAGTCGGCCATGGCCAACACAGGAGGAGCCAAAGACGGTACTGCCTGCAGGACATGGACGGGCACTCACCACGCTGGCCATGCCCCACAGGAGCCACCGCCAACCTCCCTAAGGCCTCTCCCCAAGATCCTGTGGTTTGAGGGATAGGAATGAAATGGGTCAAGGTGAGAAAACTCTTGTTCGTACGCGGATCTGAGCCGTGGGCAGAAATGGCGTCGGGTAAGATGAGAGGGCAAGAGTGAAATGCGATGGCTCCAGCCAAGGCCTCTTCCAGCCGCCCCGCCCAAGCCAGGAGCCTCCCCTGCTCCGTCCATGTGAGCACTCTGCCTCCGAAGATGGGGAAGCACAGTCCCATACAGAGAAGGAAGGGACTGCTCCCCATGCTCAGCTCTGTGACCCCGCGTCCCCGCCACTGTATTTGCTCTTCTGTTTGCATCTCCTCCTGCAGAGGCTGCTCTTGCAGAGGGAACACCTGGTAAGGGCACGGTAAGTAAAGCTGGTGACCTTCTAGAGGGGCTTTCAGGTGGATCTCTGAATTCGAAGGGGAGATTTCATGGAGGTCGTATGGTCCGGATCTAGGACTGAACCACCAAAGAGGATGCAGGTGTCAGGGACTGTCGTTTAAAGACAAACCCAACTTGGAGCAGAAGAGAGATCAAGGTCAGACTCCGTGGTGTCCAGACTCCTGGCCAGAGGCGCACTTGGGACCCTGCCAGCATGGGGAAGGGGACTAGGAGCCGCCAGCAGGCTGTAGTCTGGCATTTAGAGTCTGAAATAGCTCTTCGGTAGAAAGGTCAGTGGTGATGTCAGGTGGACGCGGATTCTTCTGTCGTTGGGGAAAATGTTACAGGGTGGGAAGCAGAGCTACAACAGCCTCCGTCAAGAAGAGAATCTAACCTCTGTGTAGGAAAACACGCTGGCTCCGGAGTCCTTACAGCAACCCTGTTCCTTGCCTTTTGTTCCTTGTCGGAAAGGCTGAACGTCAGAAAGGACATTTCTTTCCTTCTTCTCCATCATCCTTCTCAACTTGGCTTCTGCCATGCTCACTGTAAGGAAACTGCTCTTCTAAAGGTCCCCGATGAAGGTCTTATTGCTAAGTCCACCATCCTTTCCACTCAGATCTTGCTGATGCACTTAATGCCACTGGACACAGCCTGCCAGCTTCTTGGGAAACATGCTAACTTGGTTTCCATGACACTGTACACACTACCCTTGTCTCTGCCAGGCACAGTTGTCTCCCTCCCTCCTCTTCCCTTGCCTCCAACCCCATGAATGCAAATGTTCCCTCAAGTCGGTGCTGGGCCCCCGGACATTTCATCTTCTCTTCTCCACCAGAGGAGACAATCCATTTGTTTCCATTTATTAGTTTCCTCTGGAGCTTGTATTTATTCATTTAAATTCAAGTTAGTGAACCTATTGTGTAGGATTGGTGTCAGGAGTAAAACCCAGTGATTCACCACCTACCTAGAGCCCCTGGTGCTCATCCCAACAAGTGCCCTCCTTAATACCCATCTAGCCCAACCCCCACCCACCTCCCCTCCAGCAAGCCTCAGTTTGTTCTCTGTATTGAAGAGTCTCTTCTGGTTTGCTTCCCTCTGTTTTTTTCTTCTTTTTCCTTCCCTTGCCCTGTGTTCATCCCAAGTGGCATACACAGATCACAAACTTTCCACTGGCCTCTTCTAGGTGTAAATCCTTCTATCATTTCAAATTCAGCACCGGAGTGACCAGACTCCTCTCCCCCACCTCCTCCAAGGGACCTCCCTCGTCTCACCTCTGCACCATAAGCACTGTAATTGTCCAAACCACACACAAACATACCTTTGGAGAAAAATCTGATTCCGTGTTCTGTGTATCTGTTAAAAAAAAAAAAAATCTCACCTGTGCCAGGCCGGCATGGTCAATGGAGTGTACGATTCTCGGTCTTGGGGTTGTGAGTTCTAACTCCATGTTGGGTATAGAGATTCCTTAAAAAATAAAATCTTAAACAAATCCTTGCCCTTCTTCTCTTACCACAAGGTGCTGCCATCAGTCTAAGATTACATACCTTTGACTTTGCACAACCACATAGGAGGGTAATGCCGTTAGTCTTAATGTCTCCATGGTCTTTTCACTGCTTACAAATTAAGTGCTTTTAGGTTTCCTCACAGCTAACAGAACACATGGCAAGTAACCCCCCAGTAGCACCAAAATGCTGGTCTAGCTCATGTTCTGCTTCAGTCTCTCCCTGGCCAGTCTTCCCCAATGGTTATGGTGACCTAAGGTCTTCTGTAAACACCCAAGGCCTTGGAAAGGGTCTCAAGCATTCAGTTCCTCAGATGATGTCCCATTCTCACACCTCTGCCTTTCTCCAGATCTGAGCTTGTGCCACCCCCTTAGGCAAACTTTACTTCCTGTCGATGGAAGTAACCCGAACAAGCCCACCTGAGGCACACCGGTGGCCCCAGTCCTGCTCAACATCAACATACAGCCATCTATTCTCTGTGACCCCCAACCCTTTCAGAGCCACTCAGACAGGAACCACCACTTCTGCTCTGAACTTCCACAGGGAGCCTCTTGGCCACCACAGGGAGGGTTCACCTGGAACACTCCACCCAGTTCTGAAGATCCAGGATTCATTTTCCTATATTCTGACCCCAGAGCCTTCGTTTTCTGCGCCGGGAAGGATCCCGTGTCCAGTTTGAGAACTCCTGAAGCTCCGACTTTTCTCTGCCAAGGGCTAAGAAACCTATTCCAGAGAAGGAAACTGAAGAGAGAATCAGTCTCCCCTGTCCCCACCTTTTCCCATTTACTAGGAGACCTCCTTTCCAGCCGTGCCAGCCTCTGTGTCTGAACACAGTTTATAACCCTGGAGCTCAGCCCTAACGGCAGTATAAACTCCATTACCCTGACCTCCCCAGGACCACTCACCACCCTAAACCCTGCCCCCAGGCCAGCTCCACAACCTCATGCCCCAGAGAGAAGAATCTCTTCCACATTGATCTCCAAGCCACCTGTGATGAACGGACTGATCATTTATGATGGACACCAGAAGCTGGTGAGCTCGGGATTCTCTCAGCTTCTTTGGCACTCATGGGAAGGGGAACCACACACACCTGCGCTCCTGGTAAAGGTGACTTCCGCCATGACCTGCTCCCGCCACTCAACTGGATTCTCCTTTTTATCGCCGCTGTTTTACATAAAGAGCACTCACCCTCTTTGAATCTTTTTATGCCACAAATATATGCCAGGCTCTTTCCATGTGCAAGAGTAATTAAATCAAATGGGTCCCCTAAAAATGAATAAGCCCTTGTGCTCAGCTTCAATCAAAAAAGGATAAGAGATAAATACACTCTTTATCCATAATAGGAGACAATGGTCCTGTCCATAAAAGGATTGAAAATAAGACCCTCCAGACACTGCTGTGCACTTTGTGAATGTTATCTTATCCTATTTAGCCTCACGGAAACACCGAGGGGTTTTTCTGAAAAGGAAACCAAGGTTCACAGAGGCTTAGCGACTCCCGATAGTCAACCACTAGTATATTCTCTCCCAGTCTTTGATCTTAACCTCATGGGGAGTCAAAGGTGAAAATCACGTCTAATTGAGACATCAGGACAACCTTTTGAGATCGTGAAGAAGGTCAGAATTGTGTGAAACAGGTGGATGAGACGAAACGGAAGCAAGGACCAGGAAGAATGACGTCAGGGAGGCCGAGCCCAAGAAATAGCAAGGAGGGAAGGGTAGGATTTGATGGCAAGGTTGGAGCAGAGCACAGATGGCACTGGCTTCCACGCTGAAGGACCTGTATTCAATTCAGGGGCAACAAGGTGGGGCGCCTGGGTGGCTCAGGCGGGTAAGCATCTGACATCGACTCAGGCCACGATCTCATGGTTCATGAATCTGAGCCCCACATCGGGCTCTGTGCTGTCAGCATGGAGCCCGCTTCAGATCCTCTGTCCCCTACTTGTACATGCTCTCTCACTCTCCTTCTCTCTCAAATAAGCAAACATTAAAGAAAAAAGAAGGCAATAAGGTGTATAATCCCAACTCCATCAGTTACCCTTATTGGGCAACAAGCCAGGTTAGGCTTTACAACCTGGGATCTGGCCTAGAAAAAGTTCAAGAATGGGAAATGCCGAGAAGTAGAAAGATTATTTGAAGAATGGTTGAGAAAGAGAATTCTTGGCCTTTTTAGTAATAGCAGAGGGAATGGAGAAGAGGTCATGCTGGCATCATGCTACGGGAGGTCACCACTGAATCCCCTATACCCAGTGTCGTGTTCAGGAATTCAGGAATAAATACAAGTAACTCAGGAATCAGGTTCTTGCCAAAAATTAACATAAGTACACTTTCCACGCCAGGAGGAAATGGAGTGCTTTGCAAACACCTCTGCAGACAGTGGACTGATCGCTCCTAATGGGCAATGGGAAAATCCAGCAGAAGGAAACACCACCACACTCAGAGCAAAGTAATACTGAAAATAGAAGCTTGGGGGAGACAAAGGGCACCCTCTAATCCTCCTGTCCCTTACCCAGGGCACGGACCGATGTTGCTCAATGTTGAGTTGATCAAAGGTGAAGGGACTCTTCTGGATCTGCAGAAAGCAGGATTCCAGGATATGGGGTGAAGCCCACTTTACAGAAGAATGGAAAGAGGCCTCGTATGCACAGGCGGGGAGGCCAGAGCTCAGAAGTTCCCTGCAGAGGCCCTTAGAGAGAACAGGGGTGAGCCCCACATGTCTGCGGTCTGACCGGACCCCTCCTCCCGCCCCCATCTCCACCTCTCCCTCCTCCCTGCCGGGAACCAGGTCACAGGGGGTGGCTTCCTGGCAGTCCCTGTACCTAATAAATAACCCCAGTGATTTCCCGGCAGGGCCCCCCCGCCTTTCCATCAGGGGCTTTGACTGTTGAACCTGGGGGCAGGCTAGAAAATCCGTGTATATAAAACCCGGGGAGCCTCAGGCCTAAGAAGTGAGCCTCAGAAGCTGGGGGGTGGGGTACAAGCTCGGGGCCTTCTGTACCCTCAGCCGTTCACTCTGCTGCTAGCACAGCCCCAGGCCGAGCATGGACAAGCTGCTGCTCTGTGTCTCTGTCCTTGCCAGCCTCCTGGGAGCCTTCGCTCAGACAGGTAGGGTGGTCAGGGGCAGGGTGTGTGCCCGGGGAGCACGAGATAACAAAAGAGGGTGGGTAGGTCCTTTTGTCCTTGCATGCATGGTGAAGGTCATCTTTCTCTCCCTCCCCCAGCAGACCTCAGTGGGAAGGTGTTTGTGTTCCCTCGAGAATCTTCTACTGACTATGTGACCTTGACTCCAAAACTGGAGACCCCTCTGCAGAACTTCACCTTGTGCTTCCGAGCCTACAGTGATCTGCTCCGTGCCTACAGCCTCTTCTCCTACAATGCCCAGGACAAGGACAATGAGCTCCTGATCTTCAAGAACGAAGTTGGGAGCTACTCCCTGTACATCGGGAGAACCAAAGTCACCTTCAAAGTGATCGAGATGGTCCCCAGCCCTGTGCACATCTGTACCAGCTGGGAGTCCTCAACCGGCATTGCCGAGTTTTGGGTCAATGGGAAGCCGCTGGTGAAAAAGGGCCTGAAGCAGGGTTATGTGGTGGAAGGGTACCCCAAGATAGTCCTGGGGCAGGAGCAGGATTCCTACGGAGGGGGGTTTCAGAAGGCCCAGTCCTTCGTGGGGGAGATCGGGGACCTGTACATGTGGGACTCCGTGCTGTCCCCAGAGCAGATCCTAAGCCTGCAGCAGGGCTCCTACCTCTATGCCAACGTCCTGGACTGGCACGAGCTGACCTACGAGCTCAAAGGGTATGTCATTGTCAAGCCCCTGGTGTGGAGCTGAGCTTGAGGCAACAAGAACACTGCCGCGTGAGGAATCCACTCAAGGCAACCACGCGGGGGATCTTGATACCGGCGGCTCCTGCTTTTTCCAATTTCCTGTCTGCACGCTGCCCAGTTAAAATAACAACAACAACAGTATGTTGCATGTGCCGCCTGCATTTGTGTGGTACTTGTTGCCGCGTCTTTCTCCTCGATCCGCTTGTTTGGAAGACAGTGCGTTATTATCCAGCGTGATCAGGGTGTGGAGTGGGGGGGGGAGGGGCACCTGTAACTAAAAGGATGGGTCTCAAAGCCAGGGGCTCAGGGAGCAGCGCGGGGGGGGGGGGTGCTCCTTACTAGCTCTCCGTCATTTGATTAACTCCAGATATGTGCACAATGTCACAAGGAATCCTATCTGGTTTTCCAGCTGCAGATGCAAAAGAGGTCAGAGGCCAGGCCAGATAAACATGAGTAAGTAGCACAGAACCTGACATCAAGTAATGAGGAAAACTGGCAGCAGGAATGAAAAGTAAAACTGTAGAAAAGTCTGGCATTCATTGTGCAAGAAGGCAAACGTGCAGGGTTTTTTTTTAATGTTTATTTTTGAGAAAGAGAGAGCGAGAGCAGGGGAGGGTCAGAGATAGGGAGATACAGAATCTGAAGTAGGTTCCAGGCTCTGAGCTGTCAGCACAGAGCCCGACGCGGGGCTCGAACCCACAAACCATGAGATCATGACCTGAGTCGAAGTTGGACGCTTAACCAACTGAGCCACCCAGGCGCCCCTAATGTGTCTTTTTTCTCACACACACACACACACACACACACACACACACACACAGAGACCAAAAACAAAAAAACACTGGTAGCATACAATGCTGGATTTTCAGAGTCTGGTCCTAAAGTCATCAAGGATATTGCTTAGGACCTCCCGGTTCAAATCCTGTGGATCTACCTCTTAAACCCTTTAACGTGACATTGCCCTCCATTATCTGATCCCCGCTTACCCCTTTCAGATACGACTCTCAGCACCAAACATTCTAATTACAATATTACACACCATCAGATTTTATCAGATGTTACTGTCATTACAAAAGCCACAAGGCACATCCCCAGCAGAAATGAGGTGTTTTCTTAGAGAATGACCTCAAAGAGAACGTGGCTGTATGTGGGAAACAAGGCAGGCTTTGCCCGCAGATAATGGGGCGCGAGGCTGAGGGAAATCAGAAAGACCACATTGCTGGACAGCTTCCGAGTGATACAAGTGAGGACTTCAAACTCACGTGCTCATTCGCCCAGGATCAACAGGGAGGCAGGTGCCAGACCCGAGAAAGAAAGACAGAGGCTGTGGACTCCACTAATGGGGCAAGAAGGTCAGGCAGGCAGGAGCAGGTGGAATCCAAGATTGGTAGGGGCCTTGGATGCAGTCACAGGGGCTTCATAAGCACAGTTCACACTTTTCTCTCTAGTGAGAGGGAAGCACCATGTAGAAAAATTATTTTCCATTCACCAGCTCTTAGGGCTTGCTTTACAGTTTAAAGTCAACCACCTTTCTTGTACTGTGTGTCCTAGAAAGATGGCTTGTAGGGAGCCTTTCCGAGCCCACTAGTTGAGAAAGCTCTTGGTGAGGTTAAAGCAAGTTTGCACAGCCTCTTGCCAATGAGATGATGGTCAATATCCACCCTCACTCAATTATTTCTGCTTGAGCACCAACCCCCAAGGTACCTTGTTGATCAATATCGGGAGTGACTTGTCCCTTTATTCTGGCCCTGGTATGATGATTGCACCTTGTGAAGGAACTTCTTCTGGGAACTTCTTTTAATTATGGGAACAGACATCGTATCCCCAGCAGGTTCTGTTTCCCTCCATACTTTCCCTCGAGCTATGAACAGGTTAATGACCCTTACTCATGAAAGATTGACCTTTATGTGTACAATTCTGTTTCTGCCATTGCTTTAATCCAAGAGGTTCATACAGCTCAACATGTAAATCAACTAACCAAAAATGTCTCCCATGCCCTGGCTATTCAAGAAACCATAGACAAAAAACTAGACACAAAGGTAAATGCATTCAAAGGGGCTATTCTATGTATCAAAAATGAGCTAAACTCTTTAAAGGTATGGTTGGCTCTCCAGTGCCGTAAAGAATATAACTGGACAATCAAGTCTTGCCCAGAGACAAAGAGCCTAACTTAGAGAGAAGGCACAGATAAGGGCAGAAGATAAGTTACCACATATACCTTTGCTAACTGGTGATGTATAACAGTCCCTTCCCTAAGGCCTACATTCCACAAACCCCTTCCCTTACCCTGGCAGCTGTGATGAGGATGAATAAGAGTATCTACAACTTAACCTATGACTTAATCTTAGCGTTATTAAAATGTGTATGTTATCCTGTTTTTCGCTAAGAACACCCCGTTATTTTCTTGGTTACTCAACCTCACTATAATTGGGGTAGTTCTGCAAGAATACTTCTGTAAAACCTGTTTCTGTACATTTTCCAAAACATCTTATCACAGAGAACTGTCCATTGTAAAAACTCCATTTTTTGATGCCATGTTAACGTTTGACCTATAAATAAAGACACCAAAACGGACAGGGCAGAGATGCCTGCCTGGTGATCAGAAAGAATCTTGGGGCTCTCTCACTCCCTCTCTCACTGACACCGTCCATCCTTCAGGAACCCCTGAACCTGGTTGGAGCTGGACTCCGGCAACCGCTCTCTTTCTGGAGAGCACATACTTCCATCAGGAGCACAGAGACAGGTTTGCCCAGACGTTGCGTTGTCCACCATTGCCAGTTTTTATTTGTTTAAGTTTATTTGAGAGAGAGAGGGAGGGAAGGAAGGGTGGAGACAATCCCAAGCAGACTCCACACTATCAGCACAGAGCCCAATATGGGGCTTGAACCCACAAACTATGAGATAATGACCTGAGCTGAAACCAAGAGTCAGATGATTAACTGACTGAGCCACCCAGGCGTCCCCTGCTAGTTCTTAATAGTTTAGCTTAACACCCCCCCCCCGTCACAGAACCTAAAACAAGTTTTAAGAAACGAAGCCTGCGTACTTTCCAGAAGCATCATCCATTTATTTATTGAGCCCCTACTCTGTGCCAGACACTACGCCAGATGAAAACACAACACTGAGTGACCCCGTCGTGGTGCTGGTTTTGGATTTCATATTCTAAGTCTGTGCCATCTGATACTTTGTGCTTTCTGGCACTCATCAGCATCTGTCATAATCCATACCTTGCCATCATTAGGCTTTCCTGGGTCTCAGGCTGATATCCTAACATCCCCTCTCACCTCTGAGGTAGATGGAATATTTAGTCTCAGGGATCATTTCCCACTTCTCCCTTGGCCAGAAGTAATGTCTGTCTGCTTTCTCGCCTCTGGGGACCCTCTAACCTCCTGAGATGGCTCTCATGGACAGAACACAATATGACCACAAGCCAGCTTTTCCTTCTCTGTGACCCACACCTCATCCCATAGCGACTGTATCCCTTGTCCCCATGAACTCTAGGAGTCCAGGATGAAGGTAACACATCTCTGCTTCTATGATGGCCTTACCTTGTGCAAATCTTTGGAGTCTCCCAATAGCTCGGAGCATGTTTTAAGCTTTGAGGGACTCTGCGGAAGACCCCACCACCACCACCACCAGGCTTGAGGTGAAGACTGTAGAAATCCCAGCAACAATCCAGGGCACCTGGGTGGCTCAGTCAGTTAAGCATCTGACTTGGGCTCAGGTCATGATCTCATGGTTCTTGAATTCAAGCCCCGCATCAGGCTCTGTGCTGACAGCTCGGAGCCTGGAGGCTGCTTCAGATTCTGCGTCTCCCTCTCTCTCTGCTCCTCCCCGGCTCGCACTCTGTCTCTCTCTTTCTCTCTCAAAAGTAAACATAGAAAAGAAAAAAGAAAAAAAAAAGAAATCCCAGCAACCATCCTGTCAGGGCCTCAGGAACATGACCTGCTCTTTTCTCGAAACAGCTGTGGGAAGCCACGGCTCTCCCCAGCGCAGCCCCAAGCCCACATCCAGCTCTCTGCATACCTTGTTCTGGCCCAAGGATACAAGGGTCCCTGAACTTGCCCTGAAGCATTTGCTTTGCACATTTGTGTAAGTGGATCTGCATCGTGTTCTTGCAATTCTCTAGGGTCTATCACATCGGCGGCTCCTTCCAAACTGAAGAAGGAAGAGCTCCATTTTAACACCATTTAAAACAGAGATGGGATCTGTGGCTGCTTGTTCTAGGCACTTTCTTCTCAGGCATAATGGTGGTCACAACACGGAAAATAGCAGGCAACCCCTTCGCTCCTTGAGAACTCATAGGAAAATGGAAGGACCTGGAAGGTAGGATGACCCAGGAACAGGAATGGAGAGTGATGCCATGTGTGAAAAAGCTTGGTAACTGCCCCTCTCCCCATGCTGTTCACTCAGGCTGGCAGAACCGGGAGAATAAGCAGTACACAGGTATGCAAAGAGAGGCTTAAACCTGCAGATGTTTCTAGTAAGAAAAGCAGTTTCTGAGCCTCTGTCTTGTACGAGGGTCTGGTTCTTATTTGTGAAGCTACAGAAAAACAGGTCAGAGCACTTAGCCTCATGTCTGCAGAGAAGTCTATAAAGGACTTTTCTTGGGTGGAAAAGATTTTCTCCTACTTCACGCAAGGGCACCAGCGTGCAGTCACATCCAGAGAGCAATGCCAAGACATTCCAGGTGCTTCTCACACTTACTATGGTTTACAGTGAAAAGGGCTCCAAGAGCACTCAAGAACAGAAGGAAAGGGATACCTAACCTGAGTCACTTTTACTCCTGGTCTCGATGGGACCAAGCAGCTAACTTCTCAACTAAACTCTATTTGTGTTCCAGAATCTTCCATCTAGGTTTTGTCTGGCTGTGGCCCTTCTTCTGACAGTCCAACGCAGGGGATCCCTGGAGGTACCAGCGTACAGTTGGAGTATGGCAAAGGCAGGTCACATGCAGCCACCGGACCCAGAAGCAGTGTTACTAATGCTGATGGGGAAATCGCACTGGGACCCACAGTCCACGGGGGGGGGGGGGGGGGCAATCCTGCTGTGTCTGGAGAAGGCAAAGGCAGATATTCAGCATTTCAGCAACTTCTTGTTGTTGCTTGCAGGCTCTGTGTGAAGGCAGGTGCAAAGTATCTGCCCAAC